TCTGGTCAGTGCATCAGGTGTTATTTTTCCCTGGAGATCTTCCTCCCAGACTGCTTCTCCATCATGTTCGTCCAGATCCACTGCACAGAACTGGGGGTTTGCCTTTGACGCCTCCTTCCTTTTGCTGTAAAGTCTGCTTCTTGGGTCCCATCTCTCTTTTTTTAAATTCTTGATTTCACTGATTTGCTTGAGTGGAGTTTATGATAAGATAAAAACATGTGAGATAAAATTTTTGAGACCTTTCATGTCTTTAAAATATCTTTATTTTACCTAACAATTGATTAATCATTTGATTATAGAAATCTAAGTTAAAATTGTTTCCCTTAGGATTTTTTTTTTTAAGATTTTATTTATTTATTTGACAGAGAGATCACAAGTAGGCAGAGAGGCAGGCAGAGAGAGAGGGGGAAGCAGGCTCCCTGCTGAGCAGAGAGCCTGATGCAGGTTCGATCCCAGGACCCTGAGATCATGACCTGAGCTGAAGGAAGAGGCTTAACCCACTGAGCCACCCAGGCGCCTCTCCCTTAGGATTTTGAAGGCATTACTCTGCTGTCTGTCATCTTCAGGTGCTCTTCTTGATTATTCCAATGGTAATTTATTTTCTTGTCCTTTATCTTTGACTTTTCTTTTCCCTGCCTGGAAACTCTGACGTCTTTCTTTTATCCACAGTATCTTGTGCAGATGTTTTGCCATTCATTGAACCATGTGCTTGGCAGGCCTTTCCCTGTAGGAACGGATTTTCTTACACGATTAGATAATTTCCTGTGTCTTTTGTTCATTTCATTGTTTTGGAACTTCTGCTAAATGGGATTCCTTCGCTAGATTTTTTTTTGTTTCCCTTTTATTTTATATTTTTGAGAAGATATGCAAGTGTAAACATTTTGAAGCACAATATCAAAACGAGCACTTTTGAACAGATCACTCAAAATGTAGAGCTGCACTGTCCAGTACGGTACCCACGAGCTCCAGGTGGTGAGTCGGCACTCACGTGAGTGAGGAAGTGAATTTTTAATTCTATTTAAAATTTAAATTTAAAAAGAGCATTCTGCATTCTGTTACTGCAAAACTTCCCTTTTTATTTATTTTTTTGGTAACATATAATGTATTTGCTTCAGGGGTACAGGTCTGTGAATCATCAGTCTTACACAATTCACAGCACTCACCATAGCACACACCCTCCCCAGTGTCCATTCTCCAGCCACTCCAGCCCTCCCTCCAGCCCCCAGCAGCCTATCAGAAAACTTCTTAGTATGTTTGGGACAACTTGATTTGTGAATTTATTTTTTCAACTGTAAGCTTTATGAAATCCAAGTACAGACCTAAGTATAGTATTTCTAATGAAAATGTAGCTGTAAATGTAGAATACAGCAAAAAATACAATACTTCATTAATATGTTTTTGACTGTATATTGAAATGATAGTTCAAACATAGTGGGCCACTTTGAAATACACTACTAAAATTAATTTCTTTTCATTCTTTTAATGAGGACCTTTTAAATTACGTTTGTGGCTGGCATTACGTTTCTATTGGACAGGTCTGGACTAGAATATTACTAAGACATTTGCATCAACTTATGTGCCTCTCTCCTATCCCATCACTGTGACTCCTATTCAGAGGTAACCCCTATGCTAAATTCTGTGTTTATCGTTCCTTTACATACACAAATAATGCACTTATGAGTAGCTCTCCAGTCAATGTATGACTTTGCCTTCCTCACTTCTGAACTTCATACAAAGGGCACCAAACTGTATGTTGTCTCCCGAGCCTTGCTCTTCCCATTCGAACTGTCCACTCTCAACTCACGTTTCTGTGTGGATAACGCGATTAGGTCGTTCACGTTTGTTTCCGTAAGGCATCCATGGTTTCAATATGGCAGAATATGTTTTTCTACTTAGTGTTGCTGAACATCTGGGTTGTTGCTGGGTTGTTGCTAGGTTTTGCGATGATGAGCGACAGTTCCGTGGAAGCCCTTGTACTGGCTGTGAGTGCGAGCGCGCGAGCGTGTCTCGGGCCGCGTCCCGAGGGACGGATCTGTAAGGTGGTAGGGGAAGGGTCGGGTTTATGCGACAGCATCCGTTCGTTTTCCAAAGCGGCTGCACGAGTTCACAGCCTCAGCCGGACATACGGCAACTTCACGTCCAGGCCAACACTTGGCGAGGCCCGTTGTTTTCGTTTCTTAGTCTAGCAGGAGTCTCACGCTGTCACTGTGCCGAGTTCCTTATTATGGACGCTGGACTCCTTTCTGTGTTTAGTCATTGCTGTTTTTAAATTTTCTGTGAAGTACTTATTCACACTTTCTGACTTTTTGGGGGTTGTCTTTTGCTTATTGATTTAAAGGAATTTTTTTTTTTTTTTGAAGATTTTATTTATTTCTTTGACAAACAGATCACAAGTAGGCAGAGAGGCAGGCAGGGAGGGGACGGGCAGGGGTGGGGTGGGGTGGGGTGGGGGGGAAGCAGGCTCCCTGCTGAGCAGAGAGCCCGATGTGGGACTTGATCCCAGGACCCTGAGACCATGACCTGAGCTGAAGGCAGAGGCTTAACCCACGAGCCACCCAGGTGCCCCTAAAGGAATTTTTATATAAGGTCAAATCATATTAAACTGCCACGATCCAACCTTTAGATACAGCGATTCATGAGACTCAACCTAAAATATTTATTTACTTATTTTTGAGAGACTGTGAAGTGGGGAGGGAGGGGCAGAGGCAGAGGGAGAGAGAGAATCTTAAGCACCATGCTCAGCTCAATGGCTGATGCAGGAGTGGCTCTCCCAACCCCAAGATCATGACCTGAGGTGAAATCCAGGGCCATGTAATCAACTGAGCCAGCCAGGCGCCCGCAACCTAAAATATTCTAGATGAAAATTATTTGCCAAGTGTGTGTGTTCAAAATATCTTTTTTCAAGTCATGAGAAAATTGTATTTTCCCTTTTTTTTTGTGGTGAATTTGATTAAAGAAATTCATTTTAATCTAGCTGTATTTATCAGAAAATTTTCTTTAAAATTAACAATTTTTGATGTCTTGAGAAATCCTTTCTTAGCCTGAAGGTACAAATATTAGCCAAAGTTTACTCATAGACGGATAAAAGGTTGCCTTTTGTAGGTCTTGGCTAGGAAATTTTAGCGTCAGTTTGTCATTGTCCACAAAAATGCGCTCTGGGGAATTTTTACTCAGGTTGCAATGAAGCTATTGATCAATTCTGGGAAGAACTGATATCTTTATAACACCAAGTCTTCCCCTGCACGGACACATACAGTCTTGACCAAGAACAGTCAACTCGGTCTTGAAGAAAAAGAAATGGGACTTAGAGATTTTAAAGCTGTGGTAATTAACCAGGTCAGCGCCCTGTGAGGACAGACAGTAGGCCAAGGGAACAGAAGGAAAGGCCAAGACTTCGAGACATGACCCTCACAAACCCGTCTTCCATTTGGCCACTGTCTTCCTAGAACACTGCTGTGATCCAGACACCCACCAGGGAGACTGCCAGCGGGCTCTCTGGTCTGCAGCGAGAAACCCCAGACACCTAGCTTCAGCTCCGGGAATCTTCAGCCATTTTCTGAACATTTTAAAATAAACAGTGAGAAAGCATTAAAGAAATTTCAGGTATTTTGCCTTGTGGAAAAAGAAGTGCTTGATTTGTCTTGAAAATTTCGGAAGACTGTTTTGTGGGCAGTGAGTGAAACTCGCTCTGTGGGGATGGCAGAACACCCAACTGCACCACGTGTAGAAGCTGTAGAACACATCTCTGCTCACGGGGGGTTCAAAATCTGAAACCTGGATCTTATTCCACTTCTGAAAACTGAGTGACGTGTGCATTCCCTACTTCCGTTGTGAAGGTAAAGTGGAAACAGTCTCATTGTATCAATGTTCAGAGTGACATATTTCTCAGATTTTGCATTAAGGTGATGAGGTTAAGAATCTCTAATTTTTTTTTTTTTTTTAAGAGACGGAGGGAGGGAAGGAGAGAGGAGGAGGAGGAGAGAGAGGGAGGATCTCCAGTAGACTCTCCACCAAGTGGGGAACTCAATCTCACAACCCTGGGATCGTGATCTGAGCTGAAATCAAGAGTCTGACACTTAACCAACTGAGCCACCCAGGTGCCCCTGGGATTTTCAATGTCTAATTAACAGCCTTGTTGGTTGTGGTTATTTATTTTAATTCTGTCTGTAAAAAATACATAACGTTTGAAAGAGAAAGGGTGTCTGTTAAGAGATACTGAAAGACTTGGAAAGATAGATGCAAATTTCTCATACATTTTAAAGAGCATTTCATATGTCATGCAAATAAATACAGCAAATTTTAAGAAATCAACACATTGACATTTTGATGTATTTATAACAAAGTGAGATGGGCTTCATGGTCTTTCCATATGTAAACTGTTACTGGAGCAGCGCATAGCTAGATCCCACTTATCTATGATTTCTAAATTTGCCCCGTCCTGTCTTCCTTTCCCATCCCGGTCTCAGCAATTCTGAGCCCACATGGAAAAGTACCATCAGTCTTTAAGTCAAAACAAAACCAAAACCTTGCTAAAATTGATCAATATCTTATGAACTAAAACGTGCTCCGTGATGAACTGAGCTGTAGCCTCACATCTAAGAGATGCGTTGCAGGCGTCTTGGAGGGGTGCAGGCCGGAGCCTGGCAGGGCGGTGGTGGTGGTGGGGGGGTTGTGCAGAACTTAGTAGCTAAGTGATCCTGAGCAGGTTTCATCTTTTTATGCCCTAATATCCCCATCCTGTAGGGATGTCTTATGCAGTCAACGAGTTGGCACTGCAGAGCCCTTAGAAGAGTGGCTGGCGTGCTCCGAGGCTAGGAGATACCTGGTAGCATTACTGACTGGCATTCCCCATTGGCAGTGCAGGTGCTCGCCCCAACACTCCCCAGGGCGGTCAGGCTCCGGGGAGCTCAGTGGGGGGCAGCAAACCGGGAAGAACCAGGCTCCAGGGCGGAAGGAGAACGGAAAGCGCCAACACAGATGGCATCCGCAGGGGCTGCGGGTCAAACCCCGCCTACGGAGGAGGTCGGACAGGTCCCGGGGAAGGGGGCCTTCCCACCCTCCCCATACGCGTGGCCTCGCCATCCTCGATGTCGTCTCTTCTTGTGTCCCGTGAGGTTCGCGCTCACCCTGAAGGCTTTCCCGCACTGCTCGCACGCGTAGGGCTTCTCCCCCGTGTGCACCCGCTGGTGCCCAACCAGGGCTGCGCGCTGGCGGAAGGCGGCGCCGCACTCGCGGCAGGGGTAGGGCTTCTCCCCGCTGTGGATCCGGCGGTGCTGCGTCAGGCCCGAGCGGTGGTGGAAGGCCTTCCCGCACGCCTCGCACGCGTACGGCTTCTCGCCGGTGTGGATCCTCCGGTGGTTGGTCAGGTTGGACTTCCCGCGAAAGGCCCTCCCGCATTCGGGGCAGGCGAACGGCTTCTCGCCGGTGTGCAGCCGCTGGTGCACGGCCAGGCCGTGCCGATCGTGGAAGGCCTTGCCGCAGTGTGCGCACGGGTGCGGCTTCTCGCCGCGACTCGCGCGCTCAGGGGCCCCGCGCCGGCTCTGGGGGCGGCAGGCGCGGCTGCACCGCCCACACGGGTAGGGCTTCTCGGGGGCGTGGGCCGTCAGGGGGCGGCGCGGTCCCGCGCTGCCGCCGCACTGTGGGCAGCCCGCGGCCGGCTCCCGCGCGTGCGTCCGCGCGTGCTTGCGCAGGTCGGAGCTCCGGCGGAAGGCCCTCCCGCACGCGCGGCACGGGTATGGCCGCTCGCCGCTGTGGATCCGGCCGTGCTTGGCGAGGTCCGAGCTGCCGCGGAAGGCCCTGCCGCACTGCCCGCACGCGTACGGCCGCTCCCCGGTGTGCGTGCGGCCGTGCAGGGTGAGGCAGTGCCGGAAGCGGAAGGCCTTGCCGCACACCGCGCACTCGTGCGGCCGCTCGCCGCTGTGGACCCGCTGGTGCCGCCGCAGCCGGCTTGCGCTGCCGAAGGCCTTTCCGCACGCGCCGCAGCCGTGCGGCCTCTCCCCACCGTGCGCCTTGCGGTGCCGGCAGAGCGCCGACGGGCTGCTGAAGTCCTTCCCGCACTGCGCGCAGCGGAAGGGCTTCTCCCCCGTGTGCGTGACGCGGTGCACACGCAGCTGCTTTCTGGTCTTGAACGCTTTCCCGCACTCGTGACACGCGTGGGGCTTCTCGCCAGCACGGACGCGCCCGTGGAGAAGCGGGAAGGTATGGCCGCGCGCTGCACCAGGGCGGGGGCTCCGTGCGGTCAGGGCTCGGGTGCGCGGGGTGCACTTGGAGTCTGCGCCCAAGTTGTTGGCGAGCACCGCCCAGGCCCTTCCTTCCTCGAGGGTCCCCTTCTCCTCTCCCAGTGTCTCCACCCCGGCCGGGTGCCGTGCATTCTCCGACTTGACATCCTGGACACAAGCTCCTCCAGCCTCAGGGTGCCCGGACAGGACACCGCCGACTTCCCCACCCTCAGACACCTCCTGCTCTGAACTTGCCCTCTCAGTCCTGGGCCTGGTCCAGTCCGCTGACACTAAGGAAATAAACACGGCAGATCGGGGAGGGGAAAGGGTGAAGCCCTTGGAAGAGTACGTGACTTTCCCAGGCTGGAAGAGCCCTACGTCGTGGCCAAAGGCCGGGGCAGCTTGGCATAGTGAGAAGTACCAGGATAGCTTGGACTCTGAAGACTTTACAGAAGCCCCTGGCAACCTGCATGTTCTCGAGACTCTCCCGGTGTAGTGAATGGCCAATTCATATGCCTGGTCACCCGGGTCAGGAGACTGAGTCACACCCAACCCTTTCCCTCCCTCAGATTTGCTCAGCTGACCTTTCACAAATTCTACCTGGGACACAGCCTGCGGCCTAGCACCCCAGGAACCCGTCTGCCATGCTCTGCAGTGTAGCTCTGCCCACCGGGGTGCAGGGTACATCTAGTCTTGGCTGTCCCTCCCCCAACCAGGCCAGGTTCTCTCTGCTTAGACTCTGGACCCAGGCTCTGACAACAGCCAGTGCTGGGGGGATGGCGCTCGACTCAGGGGAGGGAACATTCTGCCTTAGCCCCTAGTAGCCCAGCAGCCAGCGGGACAGTCTCCCAGGAAGGAGGGACGCAGGCCTACCGAGAGGCAGAGGGGACAGTGGGGCAAGGGGCCTGATGTCCCCCTGCTCTTAGCTTCCAGGACATCCCGAATAATAAATTCTCATTGTTTTGCTCACGTTAGCTTGAGTTAATTTCTACTGCCGGCAACCATAGTTTAAATCTCTTAATCTCAGCTCTACCCCTTCCTCTCTATTTCTCCTCAGGGCATTCTCACTCCCTAACTGCCACCCCACGCCCTTTAAGTGTCCTTTAACCTGGCTCCCTTTGAATCTATGCTCTACTCTGCTTCTAGATTTTTCTTTCTAAAAATCAAATCCTCTCATGCCGTGCCTCAGCTTAAGTATCTCAGTGGCACTGCACAATAACCAGCATGCAGGCGAGTCCCAGCTCTGGAGTGGGCCCTCCGGGCTGAAATCCTAGCTCTGACCTCGACTGGCTGTGCAACCTGGGAGGACGACTGCATGACCCTGGGCCTCAGCGGCTCATCTGTGAGACGGGATCGGTACCGAAGCTCATGTGTGTGGAGCATTGCCACACGGACGTGCATGCTTCAGCAGTGTCAGCTGCGACCGTCAGGATGAAGTTCAAAGCCTGCAGTTTACAAACACCCCTCCGAATCATGGCTCCCCACCCTGGCCCCCCGGGGCCCTCTGCTCTGGTCACGCAGCTACACTTCATGTTCTTCCTCCTCAACACTTGCCCACATTCCCAGAATGTCTCTCCCCTTCTTCCGCTAAACCATCTCACTTATGCAGCACACTTAGTTCACAGTCCTTCCTTCCACGGTCATTGGATCCCAGGTCAGGGATAGATGCTTCTCTTCTGTGTTCCATGTCCCAGGTACATATCTGTGACTCTCACTATTCTGTGCTGTGCCATCACTCACTACCTGCCTTCCCTACTAGGCTATAACATTGCCGCCATCTCTAGTTCCTCATCTAGTGCCTGGTATACAGTAGTTGCTCAATAAATGTTTGTAGGATGGTAGGAGAGAGGAGAAAAGAAGAGCAGTTATTGTGATAGGGCAGTTGGGTTGGTCTACAAATATGGGACGCTTTTTTGAAGGAGGAGTAGGGAAACAGTTTGAATGAGGAGCTGGTACCTGTTTCACAGCTGACCAGGTAAGCAGGTCAGGGAGCGTGAGAGGCAACGTGAGAAAGAGGTAGACCCAAGTACAGAAACAGGGAGGGCTCCGTGGAGACGGGCTGCGGGGAGAGACTCCAGAGGGCAATGTGCTATCTAGTAAACACCAGGGGTTAGAAACGAGGGTGCTGGCCAGGAGAGGGGAGAAGTGAGCTGCGTCCATGCAGCCGGCACCTGCTGTGGAGCTAAGAGCTGGGGCTGGTGAGGGAACAGAGAAGGGCAAAGGGTCAGAGGCCCGAGGCTCAATGTGGGTAAGGTTCTGAGCAAAAACTCAGGGCAGAAAAGCAGCGTTCCCTGAGGACTGGGGTGACTGATACCCAGCAGGGAGATGAATTCGCTAAGCTGTTTCTGGGGCCAAACAGCTCAGCCTTTAGATAGGCGCCAAGAGGCAATTAGATGACGACAGAGTAACTGCTTGAATAGTTGTGCGGCTGTTCGTCTCCTCTGTGTTGGGTGCCTGGGCAGGTGGGGACGGATGACCCAGCACCAAGAACATCGTCTGACCATCGTCCCCAGGGCACCCAGCAGGAGGCTGGAGTGCCTCCCTCACTCACCTGGGAAGGAGCAGCTCAGGAGCCCCCAGTCCTGCAGATCGCGAACGCGGGGCTCGGCGCCCCGCTCCAGACAGGAGATGAGAGGCGGCTTGGGGCCGGCGAAGCCTGGTTGTGTAGAAGGAATGAGTGCGCAGAGCGGCATGACAAGGGTCCTAGCGCCCAGCCTTGACCCCTCTGCGCGTGCAGGAAAACAGGAAAGAAATGGCCACTGGGGTGGAGAGAGGGTTCTCAGGGGTCTGGTCACACGGAGACACGTATACGGATGCTCACAGAAGAGTCGTTCTTAGAAGGCGGAGGGGGAGACCCCGGGGAACAGCCCCTGCCCTGGCAACTGTCTTGCTCGGTGGCAGAGGCGGGTCAGGGGGCCCGGCAGGCGTCGCCCAACAACGCAACTGAAGGGAGAGGAGAGGAGACGGCGCCGAGCCCCGCGGGGACGTCCTTACCGAGCGAGACCACGAGCCCGTAGTTGTCCAGCATGACGGCCGCGTAGAGGCGCCGCTGAGCGCGGGTCAGACGCTGCCACTCTCCGCCGCTGAAGCGCACGGCCACGTCCTCAAACGTCACCGAGTCCCGAGGCCGCGCTCGCCCGCGATCCTGCAGGAAACCCCGCGGTGCGCTTAGACGCGGGCGCGGGAGGCCTTGCTGGAGAAGGTTCGCAGAAACGAGAGCCGGTGCCTGTGTGTGCACCGGGGCCGAGGTGAGAGGAGTGGCCACAAAGGGCAGGGGAACCAGAGGGAAGGGCGCGTCACCCCGTGGATGCTCCTCTGCGGGGCAGCCCTGCACGGGGGCCGGGGGACGAGAGAAGCGGGTGGGGCTGCGCTGTCAGGAGGTGGGGAGGGCGGGGAGGGCTGCGGCTCACCCCCGCGCTCTTCGCTCCTGGCGGGGCTGCTCGGCCTCCCTCCGGGGCAGACGCGCGGTGCTGCGGCGCCGGCGGGGCTGAGAGAGAAAGGAGGCGGATCAACGCGGCACAGTATTACCGAAACCTCCGCTTTCCTCCCGTCTTCCCCGACGTAGAAGCTTCTCAAGCTCCGTTTTCCGCTCTACTTCTCCAGCCTCGGCTCGGTGTTGGGCAGCGGGCGGTGGCACTAAGTCGGGCGCATAGCCAGCGCCCTCCCTCACCTCGTGCGCGTTTCCTAGATGGCCTCGCCCCTCCCCGAGCCCACATCACTGACTCCCGGCTCGTGCGATAACCTCTCTTCTAGTATTCGAACGTTCCAGTCACTTCTTGGAGAGACCTGGGGCGCGGACGGGGCGGGGGAGCAGAAAAGAGGAAGGTGTGGAGCGGACGCACCCACCGGGGGCAGGCCCGAATCTTATTCCTTTCACTAACTTAATGGCTGCTCTACCTCCAGTTAGTTTCTTAGAGAACACCACCTTCCCCTTGCGATCCGGAATCTGTCCTAGTAATCCCCGAGCATAAGCCCTCCCGCCCACAGCACTGCGGTGCAGCCTACTGCCAGGCCTCATTCCTTCCTGGGGGCCACCTCGGCCTTTCCGCGGCTTCGGTGTTGGCGGCAACCAAGTCTTCCAGAGCGTTCATCGGCACATCCCAAATCCGGGTCGGAAGATTACAGTGGGGTTAGTCACCAGCTGGTGAGACCCAAGGATTACCCTGTGGCCTTAGGTCCCCCAAATTTCATTCCAGTTTTACCAAAACTTCAATTTGGGAGCAAACTGGTTTTTTTCCCAGAGAAACTTCCCACAGTTCTTCTTCGGTTTAGGCAATTCTCAGCTTTTGACCAAGACCTGGGCTGTTTTAGTCCGTGTGGGTCCCCTCGTCACTCGCTCTGTAATTCCTGGTCGCACACCGTCCCACACCTGCCAGGCCTGCGCACAGCTTGTTCTGCTCCGCTCCTTGTGGCATCAAAAACAGAAACCCTCCAACTGTATTTATTTTTTTCGATCCACATTTTGTCACGAACATTTTCAAGTATAGAGAAAAGCTGAAAGAATCGTTTAGTAAGCAGCCACACACTCACCTAAACGTTCGGAGTGCGTGCTTGTGCTCGGTCACACATCTGTCCATCTAACTAGCCCTCTATTAGCCCACTTTCTTTTTTGCTGCATTTCAAAGTAACTGAAGATATCAGCATACTGAAACGCTTTATGGCACGTACCATGAACAAGAGTTCGGTATCTGTTTACCTTCCTGTTGAGGAGAAAGTTCCTACAGTAAAATAAACAAAAAAGCTCATCCCACTGGATGAGCTTTGACAAAGCACATCCCTATTTAACCCAGACTCCCCTCCGGATATATATCGCAGCAGCATTTCTACCATACCCCCTTCACAGACTGGGAGTTTTGTGAACGCTCAGTGGTTCTTCTTTTTTTTTTAAGTGCTTATCACACTAAGAATTTTTTTGAATTGTGGGGAAAAAATGTAACAAAATTTACCACATTAACCATTTTTAAGTGTACAGTTGAGCAGCTTTGACAACACTCACTGTCTTGTATAATCTCGAGAGCTTCTTCATCCTGCAAAACTGAAACTCTAGGGGCGCCTGGGTGGCTCAGTGGGTTAAAGCCTCTGCCTTCCGCTTAGGTCATGGTCTCAGGGTCCTGGGATCTTCCCCCTCCCCCTCTGCCTGCCTCTCTGCCTACTTGTGATCTCTGTCAAATAAATAAAATCTTAAAAAAAAAAAAAACCTGAAACTCTACACCGTTACATGGTCATTGTTTGTCCCTCCTCAATCCCTGCTCACTACAGTGATTCTTAGGCTTTGTTCTTTAGCTTCAGATTTTGAAAGGTCAGTTCTGCCCTCAAGTTAAACACGAACTTGGGAGACAGGCTATGTGCTCAAATGGCATGAAACTACCTGTGCCAACTTAGGCCACCATAACAAAATACCCCAGAATGCGTGGCTTACATACCGGAAACCTACTGCTCACGGTTCTGGAGGCTGCAAGCCTGAGATCCAGGAGCCGGCACGGGCTCTGCCTGGCTTGCCATCCTTCTGTCCTCACCTGGGGGACCCCACGGGAGTTCTGGTCTCCTCCTCTAATAAGGACACTAATTTCTTCATGTGGCCCCACCCTTATGTCTTTCTCTCGACCAAATTACTTCCCAAAGGCCCCACCTCTAAATATCACAATGCGGGGGTAGGTCTTCAACACGTGAATTTTGAGGGACACAAACATTCAGTTGGTAACTATTTGTTAAAACAGTGTATGGATATAATCTAGGATGACATTCATCCACTTATATTTTATGTCAGATGACTGTGAACTTTATGGTCCTCACAATCCCCACTAGGAAGAAAATTTAAGGTCTTATGAAAAAGGAGGACCGGGAGACTCAGGTCTGATGTGAACCATAAGAAGTGTGTATAATTTTATATTTTAAAAAAGAAATAACACCCAAGTTAAGCAATGTTGATTATCTTCTACCTAAATTTATATCGAAGATGTTCTGTATTTTTAATTTTCATTTATGATTCCTTATACAGTGGAAATTTCAGGATTTCTCCTCTGGAAGTTCCAATAATATACTTTTCTTCTTTGTAGATAATACATACTAAAAGCCTACTTTTGGGGTGCCCAAGTGCCTAGTCCTCTGCCCAAAAGTCTGTGCCTTTTAGGGTCTGACTGGGACTCCAGAACTGCTGAATGTCGTCTCCTGGGTTTTACCTCCATCAGCCACTTCTCCACAGTCTAGACCACTTTGCTTTTCACACGTCACCACTCAGCACCTCTAAAGCCCAGCCTCACATTTTCCCATCTTCCTTTATTTTTCCAAAAGCTTCACGACAAAACCTTTGCTCCTTCTTTGCCGCTGTTTTATCTTGTTTCTCAGGGACTCATTCTATACTTTTAAAATCTCAAGGTTCCAAAAAGGTCTACAGAAGTAAAATTATATACGCTCAACATGGACACGTTGGTAAAACTGGTGGGGTAGAAGTTACCGAATGATACCATACGTTTCATGTACATATATGTAAGTTATTTATCATACATGTCAAGTTATACATGTCGTTAAGTATATATAATAAGGAATACAATTCTTTGATAAGTTGCTTTGTAGGATCTTTTCTTATGATTCTGATTTTTTCCAAATTGGATGTAGGATGAGGGCAGAAACTGAATATAGTTCCTCTCAATACTGATCCAAGCCTCATAGAAATAACAGAAGACATTCAGTAAATGCTCAGTAATGAGTGGATTTCCAGGCTCCAGGAAGCATGTCCTTCCTGCCCCCACCCACTGCCCATGCCGCGTGCCAGCTGTTTTCAGCTGCCGTCCTCCTGGCACAATACCCTGTGTGCCTCACCTCTTTCCTGAAGGAGCTCAGCATCAGGGGTCCCAGGCAGCTGGCGTGGAGGGCCTGGACTCTCATGTGACACCATCACCTATTACGAAGCACAGAAAAACTCAGGGAAGTTATGGATGGGGGGAAAACAAGCTCTAAGCAACTATGAAGCTTTGTCTGTGGAAATCAACTCCCAGACATTCCGGGCAGGGGACGGGGAGAGAAATTCAGGGACTCAGTCCCTGATACACTTTATGAAAAAACAGAGAAGACTTCCAATTCCTCTCTATCACTGGGAAGCTTTCACGGTCACAAGGCCGTCCAGCAAAAATATTTTGAAGCAGGAAACTTCCACCACGTCCCCCACTGCTTTCCTTTTCTGTACTCGCTTCTCCTTCCTCCTCCTGGAGAAGTGTCGCAGACCCTCCTTTCCTTACCTCCTGCATCTTTTTTACCCAGCTTTCTTTACAGTCTTCCACTACAGTCCAGATTCTTCCCTGCTGTTTGGGTCAAAATCCCAGAGTCAGTTCTGGCTTTGCCCAGACAAGTCTGGAAGTGGCCTGGGAGATGCCAGCCAAAGGGCCCCTGCTGACCTACAGGCCAGCTGGTATTTGGCCTGATGTGTCACACAGTGCCCTGGATTTGGGGTTTCTGAGCAGCACTGAGCTAGCTGTGGTCTTACCCCTTGTCTTCCGAATATTCCACGAAAAGGAAAAGAGAGGCCCGCAAACACAGGGAGGAGTGGCTGGGGATTATCTGTGGAAGAGGGAGCCCAGGAAGACAAACTGAAAATGGTACGTATCTGGAACAGAACCTCCACAGCTACCATCCTGGTCCAGGCCGCCATCCGCCGCCTTGCTCTCCATTCTTCCTAGCTGGTCTCCCTACGTCTGTCCTTCCCTTCTGCCTCTTCTCAACACAACGGTTGGACGGGTAGGCTTAAAACTAAGCTGGATTATTTCATCTCCGTTTAAAGCCTCCCAGTCTCCAGTTTACTAAAAGCGGTGGTGTACAAAGCTGTATAAATGCGCCCATTCCTTCTGGCCATCTCTGCCGCTTATTCAGAATAAAGCTGGTCTCCCAGGGGCATACACGTCTAGGTGGATGGGCCGAGTACCGCTCCTACTAGTCTCCTCGTTCAACCGACCTCACGCACACAGACCCTTGGCTTCCAGTTTCGGGCCTTTGCACCAGCTGTTCCTGCACCTCAGGCAATCCTCACGGCAAATGGTCTGGCTTCCCAGTGCTTGCCTGTCTGTCTTCTTCCCGAGATAGACTCTAGGTGCCCTAATAAGGTCGCCACCTGCTCTCTTTCCAACCCAGACGCCTTACCTGGCTTTACCTTTCCTCTTTTTTCCAACAGCGCTCGCCCACTTCCCGACACGGTAAATTACTCTAGTCCCGCGTCTGTTACGTCTGGTCGGTCCCTCCCTAACTCTAGGCTCCTAGGCTCTGGAGGGCAGGGAGTTCTGGCCACTGTGTGCACGGCTGTGCTTGCAACGCCCCAAACAGCACCTGCACCAGCAGCTCAAGGAATGAGCGCAGGCGCGGACGCCGGGGAGGACAGTCGACGGGATAAAAGAAGGGAGGGGCCGCTGGGAGCAAGAAGAGCGGGAGCGGGCCGGAGCACCTGCGGGAGAGCCCGGTTTGCAGGGCGACCCCGCCGCGGAGCCTGCCCCTCCCGCGGAAGACCTTGCGGTGCCGGCTGGCCGCTCGGGAGCCCGCGGCTGAGCGCCCGTCTCACACCGGCTGCAGGTGCAGGCCTTCCCGCCCGTCCACTCCCAAGCAACCAGCAACCGGGCACCTCTGCGCCTGCGCCGCTTCCCAGTCCTCCACCACCCACTTCCGGTGGCTTTCTAGGAAATGCGGCCCCTCGCTGGTCCGGGCCTCCCCGGAAATTCCTCCGGGCTCTCTCGCGCGCTGGTCCCGGGAGTTCGCGCGATTGTCTGAAGGCGCGAGGGGCGCGGGGTCGCAGCGTGCGTGCGTCAGCGCCGCGACCCGTTGTAGCGCGGGCTCGCCTTCCCGCTGCGGCGCGCGGGGGTTTTTTGACGTAAATACAAGAAAAAACTCACTTTAAATATGAGCCAAAAGCACGAGGTAAATGACGCAATGCTCTTTCTCAGAAGTTAAAAAAGTGGTTCTGAGCAGTTGCAGCCGACACGAAAGTGGAGAGACGGCCTGTGAGCCCGCAGGTGCCCTCCGCTCGGGCTCGACGCTGAGTGAGACGCTGCCGCGCCCGCCGGTCGCCCGCAGCCCCGCGTTTCCGGCGGGAGCCTCTGAGGGCAAACCCGGAGACGTGGTCCCGGCGTTGTGGTCCAGCAACGCGTTATGGGCGCTTTCCGGCGGGACCCAGTGCCGTCTTCCCACTAAACCTCTTCAGTTACGACCCCCGGTACTGCGGGCCCGAGCGCCCGTTGCGGGACCGGCTGTCGCAGGGCCTCGGCTCGTCCGTGAGACACGCGACACTCTTCTCCGAACCAAGACACACAGTCTCCGTGCTTGTTTGGGGTCGTTTCTCTTAATTTTCTTTTAATGTAGACCTAGAATAGCTCCTCCTCCATCTCTCACCCCCCCTTATCCCCCCCCCCCCAGTGAAACAAACTGGGTAGTTTGTCCTGAATCTTCACGTGCTGGTTTTGTCCGTTTGCATCTTCGCTTACTCCTCCAGCCTGGAGTTTCCCGTTAACTAGAAGTTGGCCCCGAGGGCTTGGTTCGAGTCCGGTTTACCCTTAGGGCGCGAGTCACTCTTGGGCGCGTCCTTCTCGCTTCACCCCAGGAGGCACAGAGCTCCGACTTTCGCTCCGACTTTCGCTCCTTGCGAAGCTAAGCGACGCGCGATGCCTCGTCCTTCCGAAGCGTCCCTCCCCCACCTTCACTGACTGGTTTCACCTACGGATCTTTGCCCAAATCAGCCGTTTCATTCGGGTTTGCAAAATGATTTTTCTCGTTCAGTGATTTTTGTCATATCGATGAACAGGAATTTCTTTTAAAGGGTTTTTTTCTCATCGGCGTATAAATTTCGGGCTATTTGGTTATCCTGAAAGGTAGCACAAACAAAAGACAATGAATGTTTCCTCCTCAGTTTAATTGCCGGTATTCGGAGTAAACAGCCGCTTGCCCCGGGTGCCGCGGCCAGCGGTGTGTTGGCCATCCTTGGAGGCGGCCAGCGGCGAGCCCTGTCTTCCAGGAGTCACTCCACGCATAGCTGCCTCGCACCGTGTGCGACCAGCTGAATATGGCGGAAGTGATGTTGCGTTACTTCGAATGTTAAGTTATGAAAGAGACTGTGGCTTCCAGCTTTGTCTCTCTTTCTCTCCATCCCTCGGAAGCCCCCCGTCGACGGCAATATGAGTGAGTTTAGAACTGCATCCTCCAGCCGCCAGCCAAGGCTTCCGATGACTGCGGCCCAGCGCAGACACCCCACACCAACAGCTAAACTGCTCTCGGGTTCCTGGTCGACAGAAACTGTGAGGTAATAAATATTCGATGTCTGATTCTAAATTTTGAGGGTATGGTTTTATGCAGCAATTGATAACTAATTTTTTTTTTTTTTTGGCTTGGTTTCTCTTTTTGAACCTCATTACAAGCTCATGGATTTTTAATTTTTATTTATTTATCTTTAAAAAAAGGTTTATGTGAGAGAGAAGGGGGTGAGGCGCAGAGGGAGAGGAAGAGAGAGAGAGTCCTCAAGCCGACTGGCGGCTGAGCACAGAGCCTGACGCAGGGCTTGATGCCAGGACCCTGAGATCCTGACCTGAGCCAAAATCCAAAGTCAGCCACATAACCAACTGAATCACCCAGGTGCCCTACAAACTCATGGATTTTTAAAAAAACACATCCGAGTCATTATTTTTGATGTTCAGATGATTCCTCTTTGGCGGGTGGGAGTGCCTCTGCTTTGTCTCCTGTGCCCTTTTTATGTAACTCTGAGAGTCTTTGTTAGCTTTTTTATTCTGTAGCAGGACAAGATATTTCAAGCTTATTTGGCATATTTCCTGCTTCATTTCTCCAAGGCCTAATCAGTTTCTCTAGGGGTCTTGGTTCCTTTCAGTGGGTCGGATGACTGCATATCTTTGCTAATGGTCACAATTAACGTCACTTAAAGCACATCAAAATTGAACCAAATTTACTTAACTATGGGACTGAATTCAGGTTACCTCACTTGGTTCCTGTGTGTGTGTGACTCTGACCAAGTTGTACCTCATGTCCCGGTTTCCTCATTGGCCAAGTGGATCCTGTCTAAGTACCTAACTTTTACAGTTGTTCTGAGGCTTAAATGAGGTCATGTACTGAAATCACTTAGTATGTTGCCTGGCATCAAATTTAATGATTAGGATAATAGAATTGCAAGTCTGGATGGTACATAGTGATCACAAAAAAGGAGTAAATACAATTCCTTCGTTTCACATTTGAGAAGATTGAGGCCCAGGACATCAAAAAATAGTCTAAAAATTACATAGGAGGATAAAGAAAAGAGGAGAAACCGATGACTCCAGAGTCTTGGATCTCAAACCTAGGTTATTTTGCACAGAAACAGAGTCTAGGGGAGCCTGGGTGGCTCAGTGGGTTAAAGCCTCTGCCTTCAGCTCAGGTCATGATCCCAGGGTCCTGGGATGGAGCCCTGCATTGGGCTCTCTGCTCAGCAGGGAGCCTGCTTCCACCTCTCTCTCTGCCTGCCTCTCTGCCTACATGTGATCTCTGTCTGTCAAATAAATAAACAAAATCTTTAAAAAGAAAAAAAGAAAGAAACAGAGTCTATCCAGCCCAATCAGGGTTTCTGTTTATTCAAAGACAGAGGAAATTAGGTATCACAATCCTGGACTTAAAGCTTTATTGCAAAGCTGTAGTCATCAAGACAGTATGGTACTGGCAAAATAACAGACACAAAGATCAATGGAAGAGAATAGAAAACCCAGAATGGACCCACAACTAATATGCTCAGTTAATCTTTAACAAAGCAGGAAAGAATATCCAGTGGATATTCAACAAATGGTGTGGAAAATTGGACAGCCACATGCGGAGGAATGAAACTGGACCACTTCCTTATGCCATACACAAAAATAAATTCAAAATGGATGAAAGACCTAAATCTGAGAAGGAAACCATTGAAATCCTAGAGGAGAACATAGGCAGCAACCTCTTTAACCTTGGCCATAGCAAGTTCTTACTAGACACGTGCATCTCTGGAGGCAAGGGAAACAAAGGCAAAAATGAATTACTGGGACTTCATCAAGATAAAAAGCTTCTGCATGGTGAAGGAAGTAACACAACTAAAAGGCAGCCTATGAATGGGAGAAGGTATTTGGAAATGTCATTACAGATAAAGGGCTGGTATCCGAGATCTATAAAAAACTTCTCAAACTCAACACCCAAAAAGCAAATAATCCATCAAGAAATGGGCAGAAGACACGAACAGACACTTCTCCAAAGAAGACATACAAATGGCCGGCAGACACATGAGAAAATGCTCCACATCCCTTGGCATCAGGGAAGTACAAATCAAAACCACAGTGATATCCCCCCATCTTACACCACTCAAAATTACTAAAATTAATAAGTCAGGGAGCAACAGATTTTAGTGAGGAAGCAGAGGAAGGGGAACCCTCCTATACTGTTGCTGGGAATGCAAGCTGGGGCAGCCACTCTGGAAAATAATATGGAGGTTCTTCAAGATGT